ACAATAAAGTATGTGGATGTAAGAATATAACTGTTTCATTCAGAACAGGAACAGTCTAATCTCAGTCACTATAATAGACGATGTTACCTCTGTGAAAGCCTAGCCTCAATTGTCCGTTTATCTATATCTAATATACAGTCCTGTTTTGGATTAATGTCGCGACATAATTATCCGTTCACTAGCAGTCACTTAAAGTGGGTCTCTACAATTATAAAGACTTATGGAATTTAAACTAAATTATAGATTACTAATTTTTTTAAACCTGACATTTTCCTAGGAGCATTTTGGCCCTTCAAAAATTTAATCCTTAGAGGGATAATTACAGAAGGCCAAGCGGAGCTCCTAGAGCCTTGTGTTCAAAGGTGTCTAAGAAAGAACTGACTTGGGGAAAAGGTTGTTACATTTTTAATACTACACTAACAGACCAGTACAGAATTACTTGTTAGAGATTTATATTTGTGTGTTTTGAATTGACTAGTTATTTTGTACTGTTAAAGTTTTTTTTAAACTTGAGGTAGGTCTACACAGTACACAAGGAAGTTAAAATCATTAGTCCACACCTTTATGTTTTAACCTTTCTGATTGTTGTACACTGCACAGACATAATTAATTTCAAAATTGAAAAGAAAAAACTTTCCCAGTTTATTTAAAATTAGATCTACCTGAGACTTAGTTCAATTATTTTGATGTTAAGGGTTAGCATAGTTTCTTTGAAAACATTTGATTGGTAATGCACCAGATGTGTTCAAAACATTCCAAACAAAAAAACGTCATAAGTAAGAGAACACCAATCAATGTTTCATCAATTGATCAAAATGATCCTACAAAGATTTGATCTTCATTAACCTCTCATACAGACTCATTTTTTATTTTGACAGAAGCCTATCTTAAATTTTTTCAAATTTATATCACTTTGTCTGTCCGTTACAAATCTTGTACACCTTATTTCTCCCACTTCCCATTTTTGGATCAAGTTGAAACTTTGCACAACTATTTGTTGTCAATGACAATACATGAATCCATCAAAAAAAAAAAAAAAAAAAAAAAATTAACTAATTAATTCATTTATTAGTGGTAATAAATTCATTTTGTTTTATAAATAAAAGGCAATATATATTGAAAGATGTCAGTAATTGTGCAGCTCTTTCCCCTATGGAAGCTTTGTTTTAAAAAAACTTTTGTCTTTTAGTTACATTTTTTTGTGTTGAAAATAAACATTTCAGATGGCTGTTTTTTTTTTTTTCATTAGGCACTAAATATTTTCTACAATGTTGTAATATTGTATGTATTGTACAATGCTGTAGCACTGAATATATTGCACAATATTGTAGCACCTGTTGTTTTTTTTTCTCTAGCATTCTTCCTCTGGTTGAAAAATTAAATGTTATGAGGTGTGAACAATTACAAAAAAAAAAAAGGTATTGATCTGTGTTATTAATGGTCCTAGGACTTGTACAGCATCACTTCTGTTTTGTCTGTCTCAACTCTATTATTTTCTTGAAATCCAAGTCATTTTTAATTCATTGCATTTATATAGGTTTTGAGGTAGTTAATTTAAAAAAAAAGGATATAATTTATTTGTGTTGAAAAGTTCAATTGCTTTTGCATGACAACAGGTATAGCATAAGTTTTACTTTTTTTTTCTCTTTATTTGATTAGCTTATTCTATAAAAATAAACCAGTTTGTGCTTAGAGAGGCTTTTATTGCACTTTCATATGTAAACATTCTAATAAGTTGTGGGCTTGTCTACTGCCTGGGTAGTGGGCTTGTCTACGACATGGGTAACAAATTTTTAAAATTTTTTTTCCCCTTTGAAGTTTTAAAGGAAAAATAGAATTGATAATGCCTCAGGGCAAGTAAGATTATAAGATTGATCTACATGTCCATAGCATAAAATTTTTTCCTTAATTCAATCTACTGATAAGGATTACACTGTCATTATATTAAAAACAATGAAGATACTGTATCATTCTTTAATTCAGAAAGTTGTTCTACCAAAAATCTAAGAAAGATATTTCTTTTCTCTGAAAACTTTTTTTTTTTTTTTATAAATTTGCCAGCCATGTGCAATATTTGTTGTCAATTCTTTTAAGATCAAAAGCATCAAAATTGTAAACTATGCTGAAACATGCACATGAATTGGACAAATCTTTTTTTGAAAGGCGGTGTGTTTGTTTTTAAATGGTGATATGAATGTTCTAAAAATGTAGCTACTATTGTTGTTATTTAGGTAAATTTTTTTTTTTAAAAAAAGGTCTGTTTTGTTACAAAAACTTAATATATTAGTTTATTAATCTGCACATTTGTAAGGACAATTTTTTTTTTGCATTGTATATCAATGGCTAAAAAAAAAGTGTTTATCTTGAAGGCTTTGTTAAAGAGATAGTGATTTAGAGTATTGGGACTCATATTTATAATCCATCTACTTATTTTAGTTTAATATATTGCATTATACTTTGTTCAAATTTCTAATCTCTCACAAACATATTATTATTTCTATATTGACTTGTAAACTATGAAGAACTCATTTCAATCGAAATAATTGATAACATTTGTTTTCGGTGGGTCAAAGCACTAAGTTGGGCAGGGTGTCTTTTGTTCAAAGACATGAAATTCAAGTAATTTCTGATTTTAGTGGTGAGGACTGAAAGTGTCTAGCACTATAAAGTTCAGTTTAGTTTTAAACTAAATGCTGGTTTTCATGCATGACTACTGCATTGATGTAACTCTGATCAGAAACTGAACTTCTTCCAAATGTTTAGGCTACATTGTATTAGCATTGAGGATTTGCCTTAAGGCATCTAAAGAACTCGACCGAGACATGGTACTTTAACTTATTGGTACAGCAGTGCTTGATTGGGACAAATGTGTATTTGATGGGGACAAGTGTGTCTCTTCTAAATTTTCATCATGGGTAAATGTACAAATTTCAAAGAAAAGAAATTTATTTTGTCATATTATTTAATTTTTTTTCAATATGCTTTTTTCTTTAATTTAATAAGTAAGAAAAAAAGGTATATATATGTAATAGTAAATAAAATGACATTGTGTCAATGCATTGTATACTACGGGTACAACTTTTAGAGAACATGCGTTCATATATGTATACATAAATTTAATTTATAGATTGTCTACATCAACAAGTTACTCAAATCAGAAACTATGTATGACATTTACTCAAACAGAATGACAATAAAACTAGAATATCACTATTTAAATAAAAAAAACTGTTTCTAGTCTTTGATGTGAATAAATGTCTTTTTTTTTTGTTCAATATTGTAAGCTCTATGTTTCTCTCTAGAAATGTTTCTATTTATTTTAGACTGAGACACATGTTTATCAAACTTGGTCTGTCCTTTGTTACATCATGGAAATGTCTTTAAATTGTCTAGAAGGATAATCCAAGTCCTAGAACTTGCTTTTTAATTTGTTGTTGAACAATATTTCCTCCAGGTGTATCAGAGAATTGGTTGGGATACATCTTTCATTATTTGTTACATATAACAATGTTTTAAGACTGGTGTCTGCTCTTGTAGAACCATCAAATGTGCGTAGCTATGAACACCAACACATATGAAAAGTATAAATTAACTTAATGACAAAGCAAACGCATGAGACTAGGGTGAGAGCAACACACTTTGTTTTGTACATTTGTAAATGCATTACAAATTAGTGACTTTAATTAAGAATTACTTGGAGAGCTTATTATATAATAGATTTTTATATCTATGTTATGTATTGATGACTTAAGACTGCATTTTGTTTTTGGTAAACAAAACAAAAACATCATTAAAAAAAAAGTGTTTATGTACATGTGTATGTTAAAACTCAATGTACACATATCTCCAGACTGAAAGGTTTGGCTTGTATTTATTTATCTCATGAAGTGGCTCTATTTAATCATTGTGAGCATATGAGAAAGATTGTTTCTTGTCCATACTGTATTATCTGTATATATTTTATGAAGACACTCTTTACTAAGTAAAGAAACAAAAAATTATGAAAGCTGTGCCACTGATATGTCAAGGCATGAAGATTGCAGTTTAGTGGGAAAAAATATCCATTAGCAATGTGGTGAAAACACTCGTTATGTTTCAGGAACTCTATCATATTTTAGGTAAACAAAAACACAATCTAATAAAATACTCAGTAAGGCACAATGATGAAAGCACATTTCTTATTCCATATGCTAGGACACTTTCATACAAGTGCTCCTTCTTGCGTCATTAGTGCATTGAACCAGTTGCCTGAATAAGAAAGTACAACCAATGACCTAGCAGAGTTTAAATTTCTAATTAATATGCACAACTAGATTGGTATAAGATAAGATAATTAGGCACTAGCCATTAATGTGTTTTAATGATTTTCCATATAGTACTAAGTATATCAGCTTTAGATTATATGCTGTGCTCACTATGTGTTTGCTTTTTGTGATACAGAAAACTTGTAAGTTCTGACAATAATGTGACACTTTGTATAAAAACTAAATTTGGATGTGTCGGTATCTTCTGCCATATCAAGTATCTGATCGTTTGCAACAAGTAAATGGTATGAACATATTTTTTTTAATGAGACTTTTTTTTTTATTGTAAAACATCAATATTTTTTTTTATTTTGCCAAAAATATTGACAGTAAAAAAAACAACTGTTTTGTATCACTTACAGAAATGCTCATTGAAGTCTATATATTTTATAAATGGATGGATGCCTGGTCTTGTGTTATGCACTCTGGATTGTCGTCTTGATGGTCCAAGTTCAAACCCAGCCATCATTCTTTGCCACCCTGCTGGAGGTTTAGGCTAGGATGTAATAATCTACAAATTTGAAGGAACATCTGAAAGATGTAAAGCAAATCTAAACTACAGTTTGGTTCGACTGTAATAAATGATAAAAAATAATAAATACTTTTGAGATTATGTAATAAACTAGGTTATTGATTATGTATCATGCTGATGAAGTGAGATAGGATTATCATTCATGCCTGTACTGAGATATGATTATCATTCATGCCTGTACTGAGATATAATTATCATTCGTGTCTGTACTGTGTAGTATGTGTCACATTTGATGTCATCTTCACTTTGTACATATTTGGCTGGGTCATTTTGAAGGATTTGAAGTACTATTGTAAATACTAGCCATATTTTGCACAGATGTTACGTTTTTTATTGTTTTGTTTTCTAAGTTTCCAATGTTCTAAAGGAGATGTCATAGACTCATTTCATTTGGCTCATTATTGAATGTCTTATGGTTCAGCTATTTATTAAATGCTTTAACAACAACACTTATGGCCTTAGTTGTCCATTTGTTTGTTTTTTGAATATTTCATTTAGTTCATTGAAATATATTTATATTGTTAATGACAGTAATTATAGAACAAACAGTTATGAAGAAAACAAAATGCTACAGTAAATATTATTTTGAAGGTGAAAAAGATTATTTGAAAAAGATGAAAGTGAACATTATGAAAATATTTTTTTTTTTTAAAGTGCCAATTAAATAGAAGAAAATTCTCATATTTTTAAAGAATATAATAACCAGCATTTATAACTTTTAATTTTAGTTACGCTGGCTAGTCTAATTTTCAGTAGAAAATACTTATGGCTAATTGTTTAAGATTTGGCAAATTACATGTATCAACAGAATGTAGACCTAGTATTAGGTGTATTAAAAGGTATAACGATGTTATGAAGTTTTGACAACATATAAAAAAGATGATCCAAAAGACTTCATTCAGTTTATACCTGGTCAATATTATGGTAAATAAGCTGAACATTGTATTTCCTAATACAAATCCTTCATTTCTTTATCTTCAAAATCTTAAATTCTGCATTTTAACCAAAGCTAGAGGCTGGTACTTTTTTTTTTTTTTGAGTCATTATTTGAGACTCACAGAAAAGCCATTAGTGAAGACAGGCACAGAAGACAGAAAGAAAATTTAAATAGACAACAAGTGGACAATGGCTTTGTCTGCACGAGATGCAGGAAAATATGCAGGACGCAACTGGGCTTGAGTAGTCATGTGAATCACTGCACACATCCTTAATCTTTGGAATCAAGACATTGCCATTATTATTATTCTTGTTCTAAAAAAAAGGCAAGCTTTTTAATAGGAAAAACACCTAAATTCGAGTCATTATTTATAAGTGTATTTTGATTGATGCTGGCATCTCAGACTTCCAAGAGATAAAAAAAAAGTAAAGTTCCCCTTTTAGACCTTGCAATCTATAGGGCAGATCATCTGTTTCTTTAGCCAATGGTTAACAAGCAGGGTGTTATGTGGCCAGCACAACCACCAACTGCATTTACTTTTCCCAACTAAAGTCAGGGTCTATTTGAGTAGGGTGGACTCAGGGGCGCCCTAAAAATCCTTGAATGAAAAAACAACAAACTTCAAACCCAGGACCCCAGGTTCGGAAGCAAAGCCCTTAACCACACAGCCACTCTCCTAGTGATAACCCACTGTAATATGCTGAAAGAATTATCTACCCTTCCTTCTTCCTTCCCAGGAAAATTTTCTTGATTTAAATTTTGTCTTCTATTTGTTAAGATAAAGTGTACTTATAGATCAAGATTTAGTTACTTCTCTAAAAAAGCATTTTTTAAAATGACTTTTGGTTGCTCTAGAATATTCTAGATCAAAAGACAAGATGCACATGTTATTTTAATGACTGTATTAAATAAGATAAGATGACTGCATTCACTATGGCTAGCATGACATCCACTATTTTCAAATCTATTCTTTTTCAATCAGTAAAAAAGAATAGAAGCCTTGCAATAATAAAATACAATATTTTTTATTCATAGATCTAAATATTGCAATGCTTATATTTTAAAATAAAAATTAAAAGAAAAAGAAAAGATTCTATTACAATCTGATCATTTTGGACAATATTTAATTGTCTCTTATTTGATAGCGCACAATGTAAAAATGCAAACGGTCACATGATCAAACAAAAAACATGGCGGCCGGTGAGGAAATTTTAACATAATATTTAGATCTAGATTAGAAAAAGGGGTGGACCCATCTTTTGTATTTCACTATTTGTGTTTAAGATTATTAATAATCCATCTAGATCTAGTAATGCAACAATATTAGAGCTAACTGACCTATTGCATTACAAACAATCACAAATGGATGGCTGTTGCCTGTTGGTCGTGCAGATATTAAACTTTCAAATCTAAATTTATCAACCTAGATGATTAGATCTAGGCATCACAAGCAAAGTGAAAAAAAAATTCAACTTTCTAAACCTTTTCTCATCTCAAATGGTGTGAATCAGGGCTTTGTGCTGGCTCCATAAAAGTATAGACAGCACATCATGCTGTCACTTGCATAATAACATTCTTCAAAACTTGTCAAAAGGGGCCTTCGTATTTGATCGGAAGTTTTACCAAAAGCATATCAACTCAGACTCAGTAAATGTAGGTTGCTAGTTGATGAGGTGGGAGCCTGGTGGCAGAGAGGTTTTTAAGCGCTTAGCTTCCTAACCTATAGAATCCTAAATGCTGCTGGTAAAATCATTGGCAAAAAACAAACCCCACTTGGGCAGTTGTTTGAGGCAAACAATGAAACATCTATAAAAAAGCTAACAAGATCCTCGAAATAAAGAATCACCCTATGTGTCAGGATTTTGTGATTTTACCGTCACAAAAGAGATACAAGACACTGATAGCAAAGAAAAACAGACATAAACACTCTTTTGTTCCCCTGGCAATTAAATCATTAAATAAGAACAATCTGATATAAACTTTGTCACATGTAAATGATGAGTGAGTCTGGTGTGACTGTACACTTTGGTTTCTTATAGTTATAATGTTTTTTGTTTGGTGTAATGCACAAATTGTAAGACAAATTTCCATACCGACAATAAAGATTATTATTATTATTATACTTATTATTATAACCTAGGGCTAGGGTCCTGGGTTTGAAGCTATGTGAAGACTGATAGCAAGGTCTGAAAGGGAAACTTTTTTTTTTTTTACATGATGAGGTAGGCTTCCATGTTACCCATGCCAGTGCATACTTAAGACTGAGTGTACAGTGCTGTAGACCTACCATCTTTTTTATATGCTTTATAGTCCTTGACCTTCTATTCTTGCCACATCAAAAAGCTGCACCACTTCCACCTTTGCTGTCTGAGATTGGGTTTGACCACATATACCAGACTGTAACATCATACTTATCACAGATGTACAACATCCATGCCACAACACAAAGGTCCCAATAGGATGGGCTGGTCATGTAGTCCTGAGAAGGCCTCCACAAGTGGATTTTCCTTCAGATTTGAAGATTATTACAGTCTAAACCTCCAGCAGTATGGCTGGGATGATGGAGGACAGGGTTCAAACCTGGTAGCATCAAGGTAAACGAATGACAGACCTGATTGATAACACATGACCAGGTAGCCATCTTTGACCTGAAAGGAGGAGCTATATAGATCTAGATCAAGATAGTTTTATAAATCAGAGATTTGCTAGATTCTAGACTAGGTCTAGAGTTAGATATATAGATCTAGATCTAGCTTTTACTAAGCTACTGGTGTCTAGATCTACAGAAGTTTCATTATTTATAATACATTTTCTACTACTGTTACTTTTTTGATACAGATGAAGTTTCCAAACTTCAAAACCACTTAAGTCTACTGAGAGAGGAATATGTAAAACTTCAAAACAGATTAGCAGATGTGGAGAGGCGTTATCAAGTAGCGATTGCAGCTGCTGGTGGTAATGGTGAATCACAAGATGGATTTGTCTGCCGTTTGCTGAAATTCATTGCAGATTTGTTTGACAAAGAGCAATATAGGTGAGTAAAAGCGAGAGTTTTTTAGGTAGGGTGAGATCGAAACATTTTTACATGGCAAATTATTTAATTTGATTTCATGATGGGAATTAAAATTTTTAATTAAACCACTGCCACTATCGAGTATACTTAACAAAAGATTTCTGTACACAGATGGGGGGGGGGGGGGGGGGCAGGCAGCCAAGTGGGGGAAAAGAAAGAACACCTCTTCCCCACACTGCAAGTGACATAGATCATGTCTCTAACTTCATATCATGATGGGCTTTGCCCAAATGAGTTTCAAATACTTTTAGAGTAACTCACCTTAACCCAATAGCTCCTATTTCCGGTTGAAAAAAAACCCTTCCAAAGTCCTAAGCAAGGAGGGATAACTCCGTATTTTAAAAAATCCCCAAAAATTAGTATTTTGAAAAAATAATCAAATTGAAGATCTAATGCATATAAACAAACAAACAACTTTAAAAATTAGAACTATATGTCTAGTTTTAAAAAATATATACGTCTAATACCACTAGAATATAAAAAACTTCAAAAATACTCATTTTCCCACGTGGGGGCTTATACACTGGGGCTATGGGCCTGTTCGTTTAAAAAATTATTAAAAAATAAAAACCTTCTCGATTTGATTAAAAAAAGAATTGGTAATCTCCAAAATGATTTGTAATCAATCTTACAACGAGACTAGAAGAAATCTACTTTTTAAAAAGTTTAAAGTAAGTATTTTGAATAGGGGGTTTTAGAAACGTTCTACAACGGTTAAGGACAAAAACAGGAAAACATTTCCAACTGCAGAAGGAGCTAATGGGTTAATAGGCATTGGAAACTAACTCACCTTAATAGGCAATGGAAACTAACTCACCTTAATAGGCAATGGATACTTACTCACCTTAATAGGCATTGGAAAACACATTTTTTTTAATAGCATTGAGATTGATTTTTTTAAAACACATATAGTTAGTTACATCTTGAACAAAATAGAATCTAGATGACTCAAGTGAAGGGACAATGAAGAAGTGTTCTTGGTAAGCCCAACAGGTGTGATAGAAAAACAACAGTTTGTAAGTTAAATGTTGAATATTTTTTTAATAAAGAAATATTTCATTGCATTTATTTTTTAACTTTATTTTGTCCCCTAAAGTGACTTGACCATTCATTTGGAAGGCGGCCGTAATGTCAGGTCTCACAAGTTTATACTTTCAGCGAGAAGCAGTGACTGGGGTGTGGCAGACCTACAGGTCGTCTCAGAGCTGGATATGAAAGGTTAGAGACTGCAGTTGAAGTGAAATAATATGCTTGTTTTTTTGTTTTTCTTTTAATTTTGTTTCTAACACATTTTATATTGAAATGCCATTTTAGAAACCACCAGATGTATAAAGTTTAAAAAAAAAAGGTAACAAAAAAACTGAAATGCAGTTTAAGTTTACATAAGTGAAATGTGACTACACTTTAAAAACAAAACAACTAAATAGTAACCATATGTC